CCCACTATGAAAGAGTGTGTCGATGTACCCGACAGGCAAGCCCGTAGTATTGGGAAAACACTCTAACCGCGTGGCGCCCAACCGCGGGCTAGTCACGCCGGGCACATAGGTAGCCCTCCTGCGAAGCTGCAGGTGATTGCAAATAACCGGAGAGCTGGGAATTACCACGTTGTCAACTAGCTGTCGCGCTATAGGGCCTCCGCCCTCCGTTGCCCATCCAGTTCAGTAATTGTCACCCCGCTCTTTGTGGATGCCTTTATCGCTGCAAGTTAACCGCTGTCGATTCGGCTTCCAACCTACCAAATCTACGCTCGTGATATGCCGCTTGTGAAGGTACCTGGTGATTTATCATCTGTTCATGCTAGCTCAGTAATGCGCAGATACTACCAGCATTGCAACGCGGAGTTATCATAGACGTATCTCATTTTCGTCCAATCGTACTATTAGTAGGTATGTCGGTTAACATAGGTAGGTAGGTACCTAGATTTGGAGCAGTACCCAGACTTTATAAACTTGAGAAACAACGGTCCAAACCACGGCATTTGTTGTATGGGCCCGGCGCAATGGCTACCTTATAGGTAGTTGTGGTGTGTGCTGCGTGCAACCCTAGAACTGCCGTGTAACCAGCAGTTGCACAGCAGTGACAGCGCACATCGCGGCTGTTGAGTTAATGAGTGCTACTAACTACTCTATGGCGTAATAACATGAACCCGCCCTCCCGGATAGGCTCCAGCCGGCACCATGTGCCTGGTGGGTGTCTTCAGCCTCCAGGTTGCACATGGCGCACGAGCGATGTGATACCGCAGAATCTCGCCAACACACGACTGCGTGGGTTGGTATCTGTGGTTGAAGCAAATTAGCGTTGGTTTCTTTGGGGGAGGTAAGCTATTTCCGAAATAAAAACCGAGTTGAAACTCAGGCGGTGTGTTACTGATGCCCAAGCCAATACTTCCAAATATCCCGAAGGGAGCTTGCTGCGGGCTTCCGCCGTGTTACTAACTAAGGGCTTGATTCCTCATTTCCCCACTAACCTGCCGCCTGCAGTCAGGCCCGGTCTCTTATTCATCTCGACTATAACGGGGTTATATAAATCAAGCTCAAGGCTGCTGCTCCGATCTTTACGTGATTCGGTGGGAGCTGATGACGTGCTCACGGTCACAAAAAAGGAAGGCAGGCGCTGCTGCACGAGGTCTGCTTGAATCCTCCTCGGCACTGCGCAACTTCCCAAAGGCGCGAGTGTCACTGCCATTTCTAATCTGCCATTCCCTTTCGGTTAGCCTCAGGTTAAAGCCCCTTCCTCTTTAACTAACGTAGCACCCGACCCGCTGTCCCCCAAGACCCCTTTCCGCTAGCCCCAGTTTCAACGGCTTCCAGGTTCAGGAGTTACCCTGCTATCTCCGGCCCGGCAATATCGGCACGCGAACTTTTGTGAATGTCTCCGTGTGCAGGTGTGCAGGCTGACCCCAATGCAACGCTAATCGCTCCCAACCCTTGCTCCCCACGCCATCCTCGGGTTCTCGACATTCCCGCTCCTGTTCCCGATTGTGCCAGAAAAACTCCAGAACGCCCCCCGCTTGGCTTTTCTTGGCTTTAACGGCCAACTTTGGCTTGCAGCACGACGAACCCGGACGCCGGTTTCAACAACACAGCATCCTGTGGTCCCAAATGGCGGAAAACGGGAAACGCCAGAGCCGAGAAGGGGACGACTCAAACATGGAGAAGGCCGAGGAAAAGCGCGAGAAATCGGTTTCCGATTCAAGCTCCACGGCGGGATCTGTCCATGTAGCAAAGGTTGAGAAGGAGAGCGCTCTCGCCGACAGCGACCACGACCAATCCACCTCAGCACATCCCGATGGTGGCTTCAGCTCTTCCGACTTCGACACCGAAGAGGCCAAGGTCGCGGTCCCCGGCCACGATCTCGATGTCGAGCTCGCGCAAGTGAGTTCGCCCTTCACCGCCACCATGACCCCTTGGTCCCTCTCCTCCATCCCCGAAACAGACCACTCACCAGACCCCCAGCACCACGGCACCGCGGCCGAGCTCTCGCGCAGCAACACGCGCAACAGCACCAGGTCGCGCATCTCGCGCATCATCTCGCGGAAGCGCACCGTCGAGCGCGAGCGCATCCCACACGCGCCCATCCCCCTGTCCAACCTCGACGAGGGCGTGGTCGGCTGGGAATCGCAGGACGACCCGGCCATGCCCCTCAACTTCCCTTCCCGCAAGAAGTGGCTGATCGTCGGTCTGCTGTCGGGTATCACCCTGCTGACCCCCTTCGCCTCGTCCATCCTGGCCCCCGGCATCTCCAACCTCAGCAAGGAGTTCGGTAACACTAACCAGGTTATCGGCGCCATGACCGTCAGTGTCTACCTGCTGGGCTACGTCATTGGCCCCCTGTTCCTGGCCCCCCTGAGCGAGCTGTATGGCCGCCGCCCAGTGCTCGCCGTTGCGAACGTGTTTTTCTGCTTGTGGTTGATTGGGTGTGCGCTGGCGCCGTCGATTGAGTCGTTGATCGTGTTCCGCTTCTTTAGTGGCATTGGTGGATCAGGGTGTCTGGTATGTCTATTTGCTATGTACCTACTTCAGGGGCCAAGACTGACCATGACAGACCCTCGGAGCGGGCGTCATCGCGGACGTGTTCAGAACCGACCAACGAGGTTCTGCCATTGGCATGTACACCCTTGGGCCTCTGATCGGTACGTGCACATACCCATTCCCCTTTTGTTTACTGGCCCCTTCTCGAGAGATACTTACTGACTAACCCCTTTTAGGCCCGACGGTTGGCCCCGTCCTTGGTAGCTGGCTCTCCCAAACCATCGGCTGGCGCTGGGACTTCTGGATCGTCTTCATCATCTCGGTCATTGTCGTCGGCCTGTTCGAGCTGTTCACCACCGAGACCAACCCGCGCATCCTGATCAAGCACAAGGTCGCGCGCCTGCAAAAGGAGCTCAACCGCACCGACCTGCGCAGCTGCTACGACACCCCCGGCGCCGAGAAGCAGACGCCAACCCAAACCCTCATCAACGGCCTCATCCGCCCGACCAAGATGCTCTTCCTGTCGCCGACCGTCTTCTTCATCTCGCTCTACCTCGCCTTCGCCTATGGCACGCTGTACCTGCTCTTCACCACGATCCCGACCGTCTTCCAGCAGACGTACGGCTGGAGCGTCGGCATCACGGGCCTGGTGTACATCTGCCTCGGCGTGGGCAACGTGAGCGGCTGGGCCGTCATCACGGCGACGTCGGACCGCGGCGTGGTTAAGCGCACCCGCGCCAACGGCGGCGTCTTTGAGCCCGAGATGCGCCTGCCCCTGAGCATCTACTTCAGCTTCCTCCTGCCCGTCACCTTCTTCTGGTACGGCTGGTCCACCTACTACCGCACCCACTGGATCGTCCCCGTCTTGGGTCTGTTTCCCTTTTCGTTTGGCGTCATCGGCATTTTCCTGCCGCTCATGACCTACCTGGTCGACTCCTTCCCGGTCTATGCCGCCTCGGCCATGGCCGCCAACACCGTCTTTCGCAGTCTGGTCGGTATGTTGCTGCCCCTGGCCGGGCCGTCCATGTACGCGAATCTTGGCCTGGGGTGGGGAAACTCGCTGCTGGGCTTCATCTGCGTGATTATGATCCCTGTGCCACTTTTACTGGTCAAGTATGGGGGGCGATTAAGGAAGATGGGCTTGCAGTTATAAAATGGGAGGGGCGTATCGTAGATGGTAATACATGGCCGGGTAAAATCCAATAAAAAGGCCAGACTGGGTAACACATTGTAATGTTCAAAATACAGATAACGACGACCTACATAGATAATCTGCATCCTAATAGGTGCATGCCAGTATTTGTTCAGCTCTGCTGCTTGACATCTGGACTGCTTACCCCTCGATGTGCGGCATGGTTCTGCAAATCCGGCATGGGCCGTGAGCCTAACATGATCACAAACCTTGATTTGGGCGAAGACTTGCCCATCCGCCGTAGCTTTCATGAATAAACCACCTAGCTTGAAATTGTTTGCCCTTTCCCTGAACTACAGCCATGACTCTCGGTCTTGCCGTATAATGTCCGGAACAGTAGGTGTGGCAAATTGGCAGGCACAAAGGCCACAAACCATAAGCGGGTTCCCTCCCCTTGGCTATCAAGGTAACGTGGCCAGGAACCCACCTCCAGGCTCCCAGACAAGCTGGCCAGAAGCCTTCCCTCCCGTCCAAATATCGAGTTATGAACAAAACATCACCATCAACCGGCACATCACAATCCAGCATGCAGATTTCCCCCATATGGCGCTCGCTCCCGGACGATCTAGCCGAGCAGGTCTTCGCCCTCCACGTCAACACCCACTTCTTCACCGACCCAGCCTACACCTGGACCCAGCTCCGCCAGCTCTCGGCGCACCAGAAGCGCGTGATCGAACTCCGCTTCCGTGCCTACTGGCTCCCCAAGCTGAGCATCAGCCTGTACGCCAGCGCCTCGCACAGGTTCGACTACGGGATGGACGAGGCCGCGCAGCAGACTACCACCACCACCACCGCCACTACCGCCACCACCGCCAGCCTCGGTGACGATGGTAGCGTGGTGTTTTCCATGCAGCGGCAGGTCCACAGCCCGCTGGTGGGGATCAGCCAGGACTTGGGACTGGGAAGGTACACGAGGACATACCTGCGCAAGGCCTGGGTCATGTACAATCGGGTGGAGTACAGAAATGTTACGGTGCGGCTGGGCGAGGGCGTGCTGAGTGGTGGGTGCCGCGGCGGGTACATCCTCAACGACACCCATCTTCCCGGGGTGGAGTTGTTGGAGGGTGGGGGGATTCGGTTTGACTGGAAGGGGGCCGTTGATGAGCTGCTGCGTGAAGAAATGTACATGCGGAGGGAGGGGGAGAAAATGGTATGTCTTGTTTGTTGGACTGGATGCTTGAGGCTGAGTCGACTAATCTTTTTGTACGTACAGTTCGACGCCGCCTGCGAGGAGTGGCTGGCCAACAATCCCCAGCACCTCCCTGGTACCGACAAAGAGAAACGCGGATCCCCACCCCTGAACATCCAGGTCAGACTCTGGCGCTCCCACGTCCAGGCAGCCCGCCGCGTTGCGGCCCTCAATCACCGCGTGGCCAAGTCCCTTCGGGACCACGAGGCAGATACAGTTCAAGTATCAGGCCACATCCAAGTGGCTGCATGGTCAGGAGCCGGATTATGTACCCCTCGACGCGGTCCGGCGTTGGCTGTTTGTTGCTTGCCCTCGAGAGCAACCGCCTGACATCTTCGAGGTGGCCGAGGTCGAAGAGTCGGTTGTGCCGATGATGCAGATATTCCAGACATGGGTTCGGCAGCAGCCGTGTGCTGCTGAGAATGACCTAGAAAAGGCTTCCCGTGACGACGATATGGTTCCGACTCACACAATTATCGATTTGTATCGTAAAGAGTTCGCCTGGCGCGCCTGGATCAGATACTCCAAGAGGGATGAGCACGACGATCGCCGGCTAGACGAGGATACAGATGACGAGTTTATGGATTGTGGACAGAACTGGACAGGCCCTCAGGCGCTCTTGTTAGGTGACGAGAAGGTCAGGTGGGTTAAGTCAATTTGGTGATGGACAGAAGAGTTGAGAGATGGTTGGTCTACGATAGTGTCTGGATACTGGGGGACAGGGAATACTATTTACCTGGGTAGGTAGCAACGGCAACATAGCATCGTTGCGTAGCCCTCAAGCAAGATTTTATCCGTGGCCTCTAAGAGCCACTTTCAGCTTCATTGGTCCTCGTACGCTGGCGGTGATAATCTTTGCTCAGCGACCTTAGGACTCCAATTCTTCAAGTTTACAGACACGACGTAAACATCCGCGAGTCACCGAAACGTAGGACAAAATAGGGGTAGATGGGAAGAGAATGGTACCTTACAATGAGATTATGAGTCTAACCTTGCGTACTGTTCCTGTCGGATGGGCATGATATAGCTTACTAGATTATTGAATAAGAACAAGAATGGAGTGAAAGAGGCTCAAAGGAAATCCGAGGAGAATAAGCACTGTGCATGGGCTTGGGGAAGACTGTGTTTAGACTCAGCCGCCCCGCTGTCCACGACTGCTAAACAGTGCACTTTTCGACTCCTGCCCCATTTCCGCACAGTCCCCACTTTCCGCAGTGCAGTCCGCATTTTGGCACCTCAACTCGCCGCTTGCATCAACACTTAGCGACTTCCACCCGGAGCATAATATATCGAGAATCACAGCTTTGCAGAGCATCATCTTAATTCACACCGCTGCAATTTAACATCACCATGGATCGAGATGTAAATTCAGCCGACAACCTCCTAGGTCAGTCAATTCTAGTGACTGTTGCCTTTTTGTGTTCTCTTTCTGGCCGGTTTTTGTTGTGCACATTCCTCTGAATATCATCATCCCACCCTAAGCCCATCCTCAACGAAAGTACCGACCCGCTGACCCCTCAACAGAGAGGAAAAACATCCTCATCGCCGAGATCAAGACATCATTTCGCGACCTCGTCAACCACACCGCCGCCCCGGTCGACAGCACAGCCTGGACGGGCCAAACCGCCTACAACAGCCTGGCCATGGGCGCCAAAATGAGCAGCATAGTGCGTCCCTCCTATGCATCCCACCCCCTCCAACCCCAGCTAACCGCGCCCAACCCACCGGGGCACAGATAAAATCAACCGAAGACCTCCTCTCCCTGACGCGCAAGGTCCGCGAGCTCTGGCTGATCGGCGCGCTGAAGCCGCCCGGCGCGCAGGACGCCGCGGCCGAGCAGGCCATGCAGCAGGACGCCGAGCAGGTCTTCGCCATGCTCAACGCCCTCCGCGACCGCCAGCGCCAGGCCATGCTGCAGCAGGCCCCCGGTGGCGGCTTCACCTACGAGCAGGGCGCCGTCGACGGGCCCGCCCCGCCGCACCAGCCGTCCCAACCCCAGCCGCAGTCCCAGCCCGAGAACGGGGTCTCCCAGGGCCCCGCGCAGGCGTTGCCGAACATCAGTAACGGCCAAGCGCAACAGCAACAACCCGCTGGCGCGCTGCCGCGGCCGTCAGTTCAGCAGCTTTAGGCGAGCGGCTCTCCCCATCCCGACCTAGGCGGGGCGAACTCGTGGAGGTCGTCCGGATCCGGATCGGAGGAGGAAGAGCCTGCGGCTGGGTGGGGAACGGCGGGCGCTGGTGTGTCGGGGAGAAGGTGCCACGCATGGGAGGAGCAGATTGAAAAGTTGAAGGTGATGCGGGCTCTTCGGAGGATGAGCTGGTCAAGCCCGCTAGAGGGCTTCAGTGTGTTATCCTTAAAGGGTGCTTCGCAGCGTGGGCCTGGGCCGATATCGGTGGAACAGGGGACAAAGCAGGACGAGGCTGTAACTTTGGGGAATGGGAAACAAGAACAGGGACAACACGACAATGACGATATGGACGGGGGAGAGTCTGATTCGTCGCACACGTTATAGGATGAGACGTCTGTGTCTGGAGACCTTGATACGGATTCCCCGGGGCAGTATTTTGACGGAGTTGAACCAAGGTTCGCGAAAGCGGCCACACTGCTCAGTATAACAGACAATGAGGGCCCAGGGAATGGAATCCGGAAGGACGCGACTCGCAATAATGGAGCCCGGGAAAATCAGGCTCTCGACAATACAACGCGCGAAAACCAGGCTCCGGAGAACAGAAGTCATGGAAACGACTCAAACGAGGCTCCGGAGATGGGAAGTCAGGAAAGCGAAAATCCAGTCTACGAAACGACCCAGAGCCCAGTTGAGGGGAGAGACCGCAGCTTCCAGTCCAGAGGACTTACTACTTGACGATGACTCGGATGAGTTCGACTTGATCCCAACCCGGAACATTTGGACCGAGACCCTTGTGATGCCACAGGAAACGCCTTCCCCTTAGTCGGCCACGGCATGGCCCGCAGCGAGGCAGGCTGCGGGCTGCCCTGAGAGATATCGGTGGGAGTGGTCACGGCTAGCCCTAGAATGGAAGGGTTGTGCCGGGTGGGATCAAGATGGACTGTACTGGCGAACAAGTGTATAATACATTTACTGCCCGACACGGCATCATGGGGTATCAGAGGTTCGGCGAGGGTTATCTCACTCGCCGAGGACTAGTCACAAGTGGTAATGGACCGTCCACTAAAGCGGTTTGAATACACAGCCTTTAAATATCCCCTCCTATGTGCCCACTTCCTCTACGCCGTCGGCGTCGTCGCCCAACTCGGCTTGCAGTGCCTTGGGCACCTTCTCTGTCCTATCGGAGCGCTCATGTGAAGCCTCCACGCCGCCGGCAGTCACCCAGAGGAAGTAATCGGTCCGGAAGTTATCGACTTGGTTAAAGAAGAGGTGGAACCTGCCCAGCGTTAGCAAAATGTACCATGGCAACCCACACCTCAGAACGACTCACGAGTTCTCCTTCTCCTCTAGCTCAAACATACGACGATAGATGTGCTGGTCCTTGAACGCCTCAATCTTGGCCTCCCACTTGGCAAAGTCGATCGGCTCCTTGCCCAACCCCGCCGCCTTACTGTTGTACCCTGTAAACATGGGCCGCTCCAGCATCAGCCCCAGTCCGGGGGCCTTGGGGATGCTGATGCGGCGGGGCCCGTAGCTCTCGGAGATGGTGGAGAGCGGGGCGCCGCAGCGGACGACCATGACGGCCATGGCGACCATCTTGCGGATCTGGTGCATCATGAAGGACTGGCCGTGCACCATGAGCGAGAGCCACTCCGTGTCGCCGATGGTGATGGGCGTAGTGTTGACCTGGAACGACTTGATGTGCCGCATGGCCGAAGCGTCTTTGTGCGACTTCATGACGGTGTAGTTGTGGTAGTTGCGCGTGCCCAGGTAGGAGTTGAGCGCCTGCTGGAGCTTTTCGATGCGCGCCGGCGTGGCGCGGTACCGCCGCTTCGCCGCGACGTAGGCGGCTTTGACCTGGCGGAGGGCGAGCTCTGCTGGGGTGAGGTCTCTTTCGGGTTTGAATACTTTCGGCGTGTCCTCCTCTTGTACGTCCTTCATCTCGGCGTCCTTTGATACGACCTCGGGGTCCGGCTGCGTTGGTGTCCCCTCGTCGGTAAGATCTTGGTCTTGTGTGTCGTAGAGTTTCCGCAAAACCTCTGCCTTGACGTCGGCGTCTAACCCCTCGAAAATCGGCTCGATATCGTTCTTCTCAACCTCATCCCAGAAATCCTTGACATCGCCGAGGCGCTCCATGTACTCGTCGTATACCCCCTGCTCCTTCGCAGAGGCGGCAATCCTTTTGCCCAGAAAGCTATGAGGTTGCGGCGGCAAAAGGGAGTAGCTGGGCATTAGATACTCGTACCACCGGGACTCGCACGCCTGGTAGGCACTGAAACCATTACTGGTACGGTGAATCCCCCATATCCTGATCTGTTCTGGTAGGTGTTCGTTGATCTTGGTGACGATGTCCTCGTCCTCGACGATCAGCTTCAGCGAGAGCACATTGCCAGCCGCGTGAACTCCCTTGTCGGTCCTTGCGCACCGCACCAAACTTGACTTCTTCGGGTCGTCGGCGTTCGCTTTCGAGATGGCGCCTGCGGCAACAAAGGCAGAGAAGAGGTCGCCCTCGATGGTTTTCTCCTTGTGATTGATCTGGATTCCATGGTAGCCGGTCCCCGCATATCCAATCAACACGGCCACTTTGCGCTTCGGGCGACGTTCCTCGGCGGCGATCTCTTCGGGGGTGAAAGCTATGCTCATATAGCTCTTGCCCTGGTTGTCCTCGTCGATCACTTTGCGGCGTTTCGCCTCGCGGTTGTCCCGAACCCGCTGGCGCTGGTCGGGAACGTCACCCCTATCGGCTTGTCAGTGTCGGCATTGAGAAGCCACCAAGAATGGCAGATGCGACGACGTACTTTGCGCTGCCGAAACCGCTGTGTTTCCGTTTTTGCTTATCGTTTCCGCGATCTCTGCCGCCACGTTTGCCTCGGTTCCCATTGCTCTTGTTGGCGGAGTTGGTAGACGGCGCCATATCCGGTGCGCTCGGGGGGCCGCCGGCCACGACGTTTGAAGTCTCGTTGGCTGCCATCTTGCGAATTGGCGGATTGCTCTCATGGCGGTTTGACGAGGCTGCAGCGAAGGAAATAAATTTTGGCCGCGAAAGTCATTGCAACTTCAGGCGCACGCACCAATTGCTGCGGGGTCGAAGTGGGGCAGACGTTGGAGCGACTGGAGTGGGACTCTGGCCGAAAAAAGCTGAAGCGCATGTGCCGGAACCTTGGACTTGAAGAACGAAATGAAACTCATCCTTCGAAAGTCCGAAGTCTACTTTTTATTGTACTCGATTTTCTTTTTCTTGGTTTCTTTTCTTCTTCCTCTTTTCTTGATTTCCTGCTCCCCATTCGAGTTCAACTTTTTCTGACCATGAGTGTGGCTTCCCGTTGCCGAGGTTTTCCCATTTCCCAATCCTCGTCTGAATCGAACCCCAATACCACACTGTTCTGTTAACTCTCGTTTTCATGTTCGAGCCCTCGGGGTATTCCCAATGCCCGTCGTACATAGTAACAAATCTGTCGTTCGCTCCCAAAATCATTGACTTGAATACGACACCGCTGCCACCTTCAATGCCAACGCGGGTTCGCGCCGTGGCCGGAATGCATCGCACGCAACGGCCACAACCATTGGCAGGCACGCCGACATGTGTTTTCGCGGATCGCGAACGGCTGCTCATGGTTCTGATACAAGTAGTGAGGCTTCATCCTGACAAGCTTCACTGCTGGCCAGCATGGCCGGGGGCCCCTGTTCCGGCGCCGGACCGGGCCCGACTGCCGCAACGACCACGGAGTTGCAGTGATTCGCACAGACAAAAACGTCGATCAATCAACGGCCCCCAAGTTGGTTTTGGGGGTGGCACAGCTGACGCAGGGGGCAAGGAACTGCTTTGGTCCGTCGATCGGTGCCACTAGTTAAACGAAAGAGATCCAATGCATCACCGCCGAGGGGTTCAAGCCAAATTACACAAACTCGCGCCGTATTCGTACCTACGGCGGTTATCCTCCAACGATCGAACCACCTTGGTTTGCTGCTGCTCTCTCTCATCGGGTAGCACAGCATTGTTTACCGCCGGCCCGGCGTGTCACATCGGGAATGGAGCCATGGAGATTGCCGTCAGCTTGACCCCTGACAGAACGGCGGACCAGCTCTTGGCGTAGGATTCTCGATGAAACCATGCAAGGCGGGTGAAGCCCAAATCGATGAAAGATCCCCACAGGTCGCGGGCGATGCCCTGCTGAAAGAAGCACCGAGACCTGATCGAGTTTGGCCTCTCTTTTATCCATGCGCGGCCCCGCCTGTTAAGCAAATTGATCATCGTCGTTCCCATCGTGCATTCTTCTTTTCTTCCTCTCGCGTGTGGTTCCAGACGGTTGGGTCGCGGTGAATTAATCAAGAGCCTTTTGCTCCTTCGACTCCATCTGCGACTGACGAGGTAACCAGACACGAGGTATTCATGGCAACCTCCAAGGGCCTAGGCCCGCTCGGCCTGCTCTGTACCGCCGCTGTGGCGACATTCCCGTCCATATTTCTTGCAACCTCACTCTACCCGGCCTCCGTCAGCGCGGCAACAGATGATTCTTTGCTCATCAACTGCTACCGCTGGGACGGGGCCATAACGGCGAACAATACCAAGTGTCCCAACTCCAATGCCTGCTGCGGACCGACCGCCACATGTCTCTCGAACCGCCTCTGCAAGAACGTCGGGGACGGGCCGAACCTCTGGGTGCGAGGGCCTTGTGCGATAGAGGGCTGGGACGATGATTGTGCCCAGATCTGCAAGTACAGTGAGTCCCTTGAACTAACGACGCCGACATATTTCCCGAACCGGCTGGTAACATTATCCCCCCCAGACGAAACGACCGGTATATTCCCCCGCGTCACGCCGTGCAATGATGGCAGCCTCTGCTGCAACGACGATCCGCAATGCTGCCAAAACGGGAACGGGATATTTCTCGACGAGAGCGGGAACAGGGCTTCTGCGAAAGCGACGGCTGCCACCACCAGCTACCCTCCTGTCAGCGACGGCCTCGAGCGCTTCACCTTGACCCCATCGACTAGCACGACGAGCACATCCAGCACATCCGCCACCACCGCTTCCGCCGACGAGTCCTCAACCACAACAAACGACGAGCCAGGCGCAGCAACCACATCGTCTTCGACCACCCCCCCGCCCGACACGTCGAACAACTCGGACGACTCGATAGGACTCAAAGTCGGGCTGGGCCTCGGCATCCCACTGGCCGTCATACTGACCGCCATCGCCGTCTACTTTTTCCTGCGTCGGCGCAACCGCCACGCCAACGGAACCATGCCCGACTCGCAGCAACCGTACGACCCGTATGGAGGAGACATGGCCCAACCGGGTGGCGGCTATCCGTACTCGGCGGGGACGAACTACGCCGCCACGGCGAACCCGCCCGGGTACCCGGACCAGCATCCGGGGGTGTATGCAGGACAGCAAAAGTACCAACCCGTCGAGATAATGGGCCACAGCGCGACGGAACTGGATGGGAGCCAGTATGGACCGCGGGAACGGCATGAGTTGAGTTGAGTTAAGTTAATGGTGTTGGTCGTTATAATGAAAGGAGATGAATTTATCACTCATCTGATTCATCGCGATGTGTTTGGGCTAGCAATTGTTGACATATGTCGCTCCCTGCCTTGGAACTTGATGAGGATTTCGGTTTGCTATGTCTTTCGCGCCAGTCAAGATATCCGCGAGGTGCAGTCTGGTAGTTAGCAAGCGAAGCTCTTACGCAAAGTTGAGCTTTTTGGCGAAATAATTCAAAGTGAGCATTTTCCAACACCCATCTATCCCGGTTCTTTTAGCGGCCATCAACACTGCCCCAATCTGGAAATTTACGGGTCTTTTTCTCTCGCCACTGAGTGTCGTTGACTGGGATCGGGAATCAGGGAGCGTGAAGCGACCATGACCTTCCCTAGCTCGTCCGAGGGCGGAACCCCTTGGCGGCGTCGGTTCCTTCGGGTACGACTAAAATCTGCAGTGCGCCATCACACGGGGAATGGCACGGTATCACGGAGGTATTGCCAAGATGCCAATAGCTGAATATCGAGGACATCGTGCTGCCTGCGCCGCTGGCAGGCCGCCATTGAATAGGTACTAAGTCGTATCAGGTAAAGTAGGTACCATAGGTTAATGTAATTTTGTGCCTTTTCCCCCCTCGATTCCCTCTTCATTCTCTCCCCTCTCGATTAACTTCTTGAGAGGTACCTAACTACCTTATCCTGTGGGTTGGACGGTCTCTCCCACGCTACGCCTACCATGGCAGTTCCACGGCTCGGTGCGCTGCGACGGATGGTTGCCGCACTTGCGGGTTTGCCTTTCATCAGCCTCCTCCTCCTCAATCCCTCGTTCTTGGTTGGCACCAACGCCCAGCTCATCGACTGTTACAAATGGGATGGCACAATTGCCGCGAACAACACGAGATGCCCTGGTTCTAACGCTTGCTGCGGTCCCGGCGCTGTCTGCCTCTCGAACCGGCTCTGCACATCAGACGGTAACCCGAACTCGAAAGCCAAGCTCGTGCGGGGACCCTGTGCTGTAAACGGATGGGACGACAGCTGTCCGCAGATTTGCACATACAGTAAGCCTAGTTCCATCCCCCCTGCACCATCCCTCGCCCAGCGACCAGGATTAACTCGGATTTCCTCCATCTTATAGAAGAGGGGAAGCTTTTTCCCAGAGTGGGCACTTGCGAAGATGGCAGTCTATGTTGTGATGATGACCCAGACTGCTGCAAGAAGGGGCTGGGCATCTTCCTCGACGAGAGCGGCAATCGGATATCGACCAGGGGCACAGCTTATACCACGAGATATCCTCCCACGGCCGGTGGAGCCTCTAGATACACCCTAATGCCGTCATCAGATGCTAGTAGCAGCACATCGACGAATAAAGCTGCCGCCAGCACTACGAAGACGCCCTCGACCACCAAAACGAGCACTCCAAATCCGTCACACAGCACCAGTGACACGGCCACTTCACAGAGCACGACGGATGGCGAGACTTCTAGGACCAGTACACCAAGCAACTCCGATGATGCATCCAAGGCTTCATCTGATTCCTCAGCAGCCACCACATCGTCGGACAACGCCTCGGAGGCCATTTCCTCCCGCTCCGACAACTCATTAGGCCTCAAGATTGGTCTCGGATTCGGTATCCCCGCGTCAATACTCGCCACAGCGGTAGTGATGTACTTCTGGCTGGGCCGACGGGGTCACCGTGCCGCGGGTGATGCTACGGCGGAGCGCACATCGGAAGTAGCGCCGTACCAACCGGCCAGTTTCGTCTCAGATTACCACCCGCAGATGCCGCCGCCCATGTACGGGAACCCGTATGCCGTGGAGTTAGGAGGACACAATCCAAGTGAGATGATGGCTCATACCCCGCCGGTGCAGCAGCACTTCCTGGTGCCGAGTACTCCGAAGCTGCAGTGATGGAGATGGGGTTGGCCTCATACAACCATATTCGCTTCAACTTTTACTTTTCCAAACAAACTAATCACGATTTCTTTACTTCAATGATATCCTTGATCTTCTTGAATTCCTCTCCAATGACGGCCGTATGCCGCTACATGTAGATACTCTCATTGAATTATTTCATTCCCCTTGAAGCTTTCGTCTGCTTTCAAGACCGAAACTTTCACCAAGTGCCTCAGGCGAAGAAAATAAAATCGATGTTACAAAAAAGTTGCTCATCTCGGTTTGAGACTGCCCGGTATGTGACTCACATATGCACATGGCCGACCAACACGACTGCAACTGGACATGGCGGGGCTGAGTGAATTCCATTTATTTGTTGATTCAACGACAACCCGAACCACCCTGCCTTGTCGTCAATTGTTAACCTTGCTCAATTTGCCCGACTTTGTCAACTTTCAACGGCAATATCGTAATGACCGACTCCAAGATTCACGGCTGGGCGCCGACGCTCTCGGTACCTGATTTTAAGGCCGTGGAAGGCGTGCTGCTTGAACTCGAGCGGCATCTGACCTTGCGCACCTACCTGGATGGCTACGAGTTGAGCTCTGCTAACACCGACGCGTGGATTGCCCTGCGGGTAAACAAAGTCGCAACTGGCGCCGTTCGCAAAGGTAGCCTGACTAACGTGGCCCGTTGGTTTTCTTTCATCGAAGCCAACCATCCCGAAATCAAGGGCGAGATCAAGGCAGCCCAGGCTAAAGCAAAAGAGAAACGCGCGACAGCTAGCAAAGCTGGTGGCAGCTACAACATTGGCCTGAAGAACACCGAGAACAGCGTGGTCACGCGCTTCCCCCCAGAGCCCTCGTGAGACCCCAGGCGCCATCTCTGCTCGAGCATAGATAACAGTTAGCTAATCTTATGGAATAGAGGATACCTCCATATCGGCCATGCCAAAGCCGCTTTTCTAAACGACTATTTTGCTCACGAGGCGTTTGACGGCAAACTCATCGTCCGGTTTGATGACACGAATCCGGCGAGGGAGAAGCAGGAATTCCAGGACTCCATCCTCGAAGACCTCCAACTCCTCGGGATCAAGCCGGACCGTATAACGTACACGAGCGACTATTCCCAGCAGTTATACAATATTTGTGAGCGTATGATTGCAGCGGGAAACGCCTACGCCGACGACACGGACCCTAACGTCCAAAAGGAGGAACGGCGGATTCGGCTTCCGAGCAAGCGACGAGACCGCCCAGCGGCTGAGAGCCTCGCCATCTTCAAGGAGATGAAGGATGGAACCGATTTTGGCAAGAAGCACTGCATTAGAGCTCGAATCACATTTGACTCGACCAATGGTGCTATGAGAGATCCAGTGGTCTACCGTTTTCCCAAATTCAAATCCGAGGACGGCGAGGAGCCCATATCGCTCCCCCATCACCGCACAGGGTGGGAATGGAACATCTATCCAACTTACGACTTCGCTTGCCCGGTAGTGGATAGCATCGAAGGTGTTACCCATGCTCTTCGCACGACCGAGTACGCAGACCGGAACGCCCAGTACCAGTGGTTCCTTGAGACCCTGGGCCCCCGGCCCGTACAGCTCTAGGACTTCGCCCGTATCAATTTCACTCGGACGTTCCTCTCAAAACGGAAGTTGACCAAAGTCGTTGGCAGCGGGATCGTGACAGGCTGGGATGATCCCCGCATGCCGACCGTCCGTGGGATCCTTCGCCGTGGCCTCACTCTCCCTGCTCTGCGCGAGTTTATGCTGAAGCAGGGCCCGAGCCGCAACGCCGTCACCATGGACTGGACTATCCTTTGGGCGATGAATAAAAAGTCTATCGACGCGGTTGCTCCTCGAAATCACGAGACAGTTGGTTGTAGCAACTATTCGGGGCGGCCCTGCATCGCCCTACTCGGAGGAGAGGGCTAAGCATCCTAAAAATGCTGCTGTCGGGACCAAGTTGGTCACATATGCAACCACTATACTTTTTGCCCAAGTAGACGCAGCGAGTTTCTCCTTGGATGAGGAGATCACGCTAATGACTTGGGGGAATGCCATGGTTCGAGAGATAACACGGGACGGCGCTGTTGTGGCGGGCTTGCAGCTCGAACTGCACCTGGAGGGGGACTTCAGGAAGACCGAGAAAAAGATTACCTGGTTGGCAAATGAGGGGAGTTCCCTCATCGATGCTGAGCTCTGGGAGTTTGACTACCTCCTGACCAAGGATGCCTTGGGGAAGGGCGATAAACTGGACGACTTCCTGGCCACCAACGCGGCCACCATGACTGAGGCGCTGTGCGATGCCAATCTGGTGACTGTCGAGTCCGGAGACATCATTCAGCTGGAGCGCAAGGGCTATTTCAGGGTCGACAAAGCTGCTGGACAAGGTCCTGGTGGCAAGGCGGTGTTGTTCAAGATCCCGACTGGGTCAAAGGAGTAAATAGCTTGATGCCAGGCTGTCCCTGCTAGAGACAACGTCGAAACCATTGCGTTCGGGATATCGGTTGCGGAAATGCAAATGTGGAAAACTACTAGCGGAACTCTTGAATCCATCTCTTGTCCTGTCTATATCGTAGCTCTTTCACACCGTGCCCTACATGTGCTGCCTTGTTCAAGAGGACGCCTCGCATTCCAAGTTACTCGTAGTCCAATCCTGCACCGTCGTCTCGGCACATCCATAGCAAGCACATAGCTAAACATACCCGTCAGCACCAATACCTAACCGGCGTTGCTGTCGAACCGATACGCACCTGCTCCTCGGCCAAGAGCTGGGTCCCGTGGTCGTTCACTGCACTGAAGTGACCTGGCTCCTTGGTACTCCGTCCTGATGAATGCGGCAAAGCATGCGTTTGCCTGGAGCACAGGACGGCAGTTTCTCGCTGGAGGCGTCACAGGGCCCGTCGCGGGCAGCGAGCGCGTGGGATGATGGTTGCTGCGGGAGCGCCGAGGACGGTGTGCCATCAGGGTCCGTGAGAGTGGCGAGAATGGCAGAAGAGTGCATTTTGAGTTGTGTTTCTTAAGGGAACGATGGGAATAGCCAAGAGCGCGGTCCGGCAGAGAAGCAGGCAAGTCAGGGGCGTCAAGACAAGTCAAAGGTTACGATCCGAGTTCCTGTTGTCATCGCGGAAGCTTTTTATACCCCTTACCTACCTCCAATCTAATCATGGTGGACCCAGGTTGCAATCTTGTTTCTCCCGTGGCTTCTAGAAAACTCGTTCCGCCGATGATCAACAACAATGGCACCCTGAAGGCGTGGGGAGATGAATGCGGCTCTTCCCTGCATGAACCCATTTTGGTGTTCTTGAACGTTTCCGGGCTTGGGGTACTCTGCGGATAAACATGCAGTTGTTGATCCGCCTATCATGACAAGCAGTGGCATTGCCCGGCAATATCCAGATCATCATATACCCCACGGCAAAATTGCCTCCCCTCTTCTCTCCCGTACCATCCGTGGGGGGCCACGAATTGGGCCAACCACGAAGGACCTCTCCTGTTTGGAGGTTTCAAGATCTTCATTTTCACTCCTGTGATCTCGCCGGTTAAACGATTGCTAGTATTGGTAGTCACATTTTCAATGTTCCACAACATGGTATCATGTTGCCAGAGTGTCATATCAGGAACTGTGTCCCGGTTTGTGGGTTTCGAGCACCGGCGAATACAAAACTGGTGTGTGGTGCAAAAACTGAGATCACCTTCTATCAAATGTGCATCACACACGTACTCTACAGTCAGAAGTTCACCAGTCACGAAGACTTCACCGCATACCCAGGAACCAGCGTCGCAACCCACACATCCATACTCATCACCTTCCCACCACCCCAGACGAATCCGCCGCCGCAACCGTCGCATCCCTAGCAGCCATAAACATGGACCACACACATACACTCCACAAAATCACTCACCAACAAAATAAAA